AAATGTATCCCGGAGTGAAAGTGTACAGGTTTTCCCTCCACTTCGGGGCTTACCCTCTAGACCTAGTTCAGGGATATAACCGTTGGCCTTCTCAAGAGATAAGGGAAGTTTTGGGGCGCCTGGGTGGCCCAGTCGGTTGAGCGTCCGACTTCCGCTCAGGTCATGATCTCACAGTTCCTGGGTTTGAGCCCCGCGTCGGGCTCTGTGCTGACAGCTCGGAGCCTGGAGCCCGTTTCGGATTCTGTGTCTCCTATCTCTCTCTGCCCCTCCCCTGTTCATGCTCTGTCTCTGTCTCAAAAATAAAAAATAAACAGTAAAAAAAATTTAAAAAAAAGAGATAAGGGAAGTTTTACTTTCCTTTGGGATCAGAGCAATTGACTAGACAAATGGACTGTGAGATGTTTCTTGGGGGTTAATAAGGGTTTTTTTAACAGGAGCACAGAAATTCAGGGAAATTTTATTGCCCCACATTTCCCAAATTCATCTATAAATTCAGTGTGATCCATATCAAAATCATAGCAGTCTTCTTTTGTAAAAAATTGACAAGCTGATCCTAAAATGTGTATGCAAATACAGAACAATTCTTGAGATCAAAATTGGAGAATTTACCCTTCAACGATTTCATAACTCACTATAAAGCTATGATAATCAACACAAGGTGCAAGTAGTATAAATATTTTATATATAATTATATATACTATATATATAAATATCAATGAAATATATATATGTATATATATATAAAACATATCAAAGAACAGGATAGAGATTCTAGAAATAAACCCTCTCATTTATGGTAAACTAATTTTTCACAAAGATGCCAAGGCACTTCAGTGGGGACGTGGAACCAGTCGTGCTGGACCAATTACATATTGCCACCCACGAACAATGAACTTGGAACTTTCCCTCATACCTCACGCAAAAATTAACTCAAAATGTACCATAGTACAAAATATAAGAGCTAAAACTGTAAACTGCTGGGAAAAAACGTAGGGGTAATTCTTTGTGACCCTAATTTAGGCAAGGATATATGGCATCGAAAGCATGCTCCACAGAAGGAAAAAGTCATAAATTGGACTTTATGAAACTTAAAAAAAAAAAAACCTTTGCTCTTTAAAAGATACCATGAAGAGAAAGAAAAAAAATCATAACTGAGAGAAATGTTTCTAAATTACGTATCTGGTAAAGGACTTGAATCCAGAATTATATAATCATCTTTTGCAAGTCAACAAGAAAATAAACTGCTGAGTTTAAGATGGGCCAGTGATTGAACAGACATTTCATTAACGAAGATACATGAATGGCCAATAAGCACGTGGAAAGATGCTCAACCTTGTTAGTCATGAGGGAAATGCAGACTAAAATCACATCGCCTAGAATGGCCCTAAGCCGAACGACAGACTCTTCCCGGTGTTGGTGGGGCTGTGGAAAAGCTGGACCTCCACTGGGAATATAAAATACACTCATTTTGGAAACGTTTTGGTGGTCTTTAAAAAGTTAAACATATATGTGGTAGGCAATTTATGACATACAGTCTCACTGGTCCCCTCCTGCTGGCATTCATACACCGTGTATTCCCCTCTCTGGCGTGTGGGCCCATTGGGTATGGAAAAGGTGATGGGGGGTCCCTTCTGTAATTCAGTTACAAGGGATCGTGACCTCCAACTTTCTTGTAGACTCTCCCTACTTCCTTCTTGGCTTGCAAGGTTTGTTGAAGCAAGCTGCAGGGGGCTGGGCGTGGCAGTGAGGCCCTCAGGTCACTGGTCCAGAAGGAACTGAACATTACTAGTAACCCCAGAGTGAGCTTGGAAGTGGATCTTCTCCTAGTCGAGGCTTCCGATGAGATCGTAGAGCCTGGGCTGACATCCTGATTACAATCTTGTGACAGACCGTGAAGCAGAGGTCCCAGCTAAGCTGTGCCCAGACTCCTGACCCTTGAAAGCTGTGTGATAATCACTGTGTGTTGTTTGTGTGGTATATCCACGCAATGTAATATTGCTCACAATAAAAGTAATGAACTATGATACGTGCAGCAGTGCTAAGTGAAGGAAGCCAGCCACAAAACATTCGTGGTGTATGATTCCACTGATAAAGAAATTTCTAGAAAAGGCAGTACTATAAAGAAAAAGCAGATCAGTGGTTTCTTGCGGCTGCCAGTAGGGGTGAGGATTGACTTAAAATGAATGCCAGGGAATTTGGGAGAATGATTGTAGCCTTCTAAAACTGGATTTGTGGTTGCCTAAATATGGACGTTTACTAAAAATTTTCAAGCTACTGTTACTGTGCGTGAATTGTATGATATGTAAATCATACGTCAATATAGCCATAAAAATGTGTTTGAAGAAATACAATTTTAATCTCCATTTATTGGTGTTCAGTGTGCTCTAATATTTACAGATTAAATTTTGATTTCACCCCAAGTTTGTCCTTCTCATGCAGTTTAAGCCATCTCTCTCCCTGTGCACAGCTTCCCATCATGCTCCACGTCTGTTCTTAAGGCCTCCTCCCACACTCCTGGCCCTGACTGTTTGGTACTTCCTTTTGGCATTTTGAGCAACGAGATGTGATTCTCAGAGTCCATCTAGACTTCTTGGTGTTACAGATGCCTCTTTTCACTTTTCTAGTTTTGTTTTGTTGTGTTTCATAACTGCATTTTCCAGAAATGATTAGCCCATTCTAATAACTTTGTAAGCCAGCGCTTCACTCGTATCCATGGCCCCTAAGATACACATGCAGTCACTTCTGAAATCTGCATGAATACAGGGAAAGATATTATGGATTAATTTTTTTCCTATGAGATGCATTTGTGTCTCTAACAGTTCATTTTTAAATGTGAAAAACGAGCCAAGAGTTGTTTCCACTGTTTTTCTTTCTTTCTTCTGGGACCATCAGCAACTGTGGAGTTATCTGAGAGTTGAACTGAGAGTATGTTTTTCCTGAGTTTTCTTCCACGCCAGTAAACTCTCAGAAGGCCTTGCAAGTAAACATCATATATGAATCCCCTCAGCTAATATTCAAAACTTTCTCACCTCTGTTAGACTTTATTCCAGTATGTATATTTGTCTTTGTTTTCCCTCTTCCTTTAAAATTTCCTTCTTAGATTTTTAACCCCATGAGCACTTAGAATTTTTAAAGCACAATAAATGGCTGGTATGGAAGTTCTCCCCCTACATTATTTTGGGTTTTTTTAACGTTTATTTATTTTTGAGACAGAGAGAGACAGAGCATGAACGGGGGAGGGGCAGAGAGAGAGGGAGACACAGAATCGGGAACAGGCTCCAGGCTCTGAGTCATCAGCCCAGAGCCCGACACGGGGCTCGAACTCACGGACCGCGAGATCGTGACCTGAGCTGAAGTCAGACGCTCAATCGACTTAGCCACCCAGGCGCCCCTCCCCCTTCACATTATTTTGAAGGCTTCTTTGCAGATACTATTGTTTGAACCCTCATGTGAGTGGAATATTTGTGCCATTCCTGGATAAAGCCTCCCAAGGAGGCCAGGGCAGTAAAGGCACTGTTGATGTGCCCAGCCTGTGGCACAACGGGATGAGGACCAGCCGCACTGCCCTGGGAGGACGCTGGACTAGGATCTGAGCCGGGGACCTGCTCTCACCCCCGTTCCATTCCTGGCTTGTCAAGTTACCCTAAGAAAGTTACAATCTCTGTGAGCTCTGTTTTCTCATCTATAAATTGGTGACAAATCCCTGATCATCTAGCAAGGTTGTCTCAAGGGTTGAATGAGTGAGATAAAATTTAATGAGGGTATTCTGTAAACCATTTAAGAGAGTTTATGTAAGTATTCATATCAGGCATTTTAAGCAGAATATAATACAATTTTAGCCTAGAGAAGACTTGTTTTTAAAATGTATCTTAGGGGCACCTCTGGGTGCCTTACTTGGTTGAGTATCTGACTTTGGCTCAGGTCATGATCTCACAGTCCGTGAGCTGGAGTCCAGCATGAGACTCTCTGCTGTCAGTGCAGAGCCTGCTTCAGATCCTCTGCCCGCCTCCCGCACCCCCGCAGCCTCTACCCCACCCCTCTTGCTGTGCTCTCTCAAAAATAAAAAAGTGAAACATTTTAAAAGTGTATCCTATCTGGGTTTAATAAAGCCAAGACTGTTTCAGTATTGATAACCCAGTGAGTGACTGTATAACACAGATGGGCGATATAAATCTGTAAACAAGCTTTGAGAGCAGGTGGATACTTTGTTTAGAGTGAACGAAACAGTATCTGGTTTCAGTTTCCTTCCGTAGCTGCTGGGTTACTTCAATCTCAGTCATTCTAGGCTATGTCTGATTCTGCTTAAACATCATTTTGTTAAATTCTAGAGGATGTTGTAACGATGACAAGGCAAAACGTTTTTTCGGCTCTCTTGCAAACTGTTTCCAGTTATTCCATGTGTCTCTTCACATTTCTGCAGTCAGACGAGACATCTAGATAGGAAGAGAGCATTGAGATACTTTATCCTTCTCCCTGATTCCCTGATGAGCTCCACATTTTCCTACTCTGAGAGACGTATGCCTAATTACACATCAGGTCAGTGGACAGGCCAGGGGAACCCTGAGAACTCTTCACCCTGCCCTACCACACACACACACACACACACACACACACACACACACCACATATGGCCAGAATTTCTTTCGAGAGGCCTGGGAAATAGTTTTTCTGCCTTTTTTTGCACGTTATAATAGTGACTCAAATGACTTACCAAGGAAAGCTTTTTATATTTATCATGGTTGAGGGATCTCCTAGAGGTCTGTGGAACACAGAAGCAAAAAGTGGTGCATTTGGAATATTTAAGTAATCGGAGATACAAAAGCAGGGAGCCTGGAGTCAGAGGGAGGGTGGTGGAAAAGATTTTCTTGCTTGCTTTTAGATTCTCATAGCCAATATCAAATATTGAAGAAAAGCAGTCACTTCATGAATTCAAATGCTATTCTGAAGCAAAATTGTTTTCGGTGCTAAGAGAGCATAAACCTCTGTTCCTCTTCTCACAGGCCCGGCCCGTGGATTATCCTAGGGACTACCTTTCTCACCAAATTCCCATATCTTTTCATAAACACTGGAACATCGATCCGGTAAAGGTATATTTCACGTGGTTGGCACCCGGTGAGGAAGACAAAGCCGGGCAGGAGACACAGAAGGGCTTTAAGGAAGAGTTATAAAGTGTGCTGGCCTATGAGCACAGTTTGGTTACGAGACCGGAGTGGAGGCTGGCGTCGTCCTGCGAGCTCTGACCACATTGCTTCCATGTGCCACATGGCATTGGGAGACTCTGACTTTAGGTGGAAATTATGTATATGGTATTTTTTGAAGGGGGGGGGGGAAAAAACAGAGTCGTGGGGGAAACAGATTTTTTTTTTTTCTGGGAAAAATCACTTGCTTTTTGCATTATGCGGTTATTGTAATATACAGTGATTACTGTGTATTTTTCAAGCTGTGATACAGCAGCTTTATTACTGTCACAGAAAAATAAATGGTACCAGAAGTCTCCTTCCTGTTTTCTCTCTTCATTATAAAGTGTCAGATGGGCATGAGACTGGTAAGACATGACTGTGTGTGTGTGTATATATATATATATATACACACACACACACCCACTCTACAGTGTGTGTGTGTATATATATATATATATAGAATATATATATTCTAGTGTGTATATATATATATATATATATAGAAGAGGCAACATCCGTTGACATGGGTATTACCATGATGTGAACTTTTTAACCATATTATTAATGATGAAAATTATTTTCTGGTTATTCAGTAGGAATAATGCTGTATTAAATATTCATCAAACATCATAAGTCGAGATACGAAGTCCCCCATAGTCTATAATCAGGGTTGTTATGTTTTATCTGTTTTTCTGTTGGTGCCTCATAAAAAGAGAATAAGAAGTCTTCTGCTAGAGCTTTCTATTTCTTTCTTTAGAGGTTCATCTCTGTTCTATTTCTCCCCGAAGCCCTATCTTTATGACCTACTTGTAACACAAAAGTGTGCTGGATTCCGCCAGAAAATAGTGTTCTCCATATTTAAAAACAATGTTGTCGGGCTTTATTCAAGTCTGTGAGTTCTGTGGAAGTCTCAGGAAGTGAATTAAATTAATTTGTACCTGATGTTTTACTCTTATTTTTCTTTGAATGTTACTTAACGACTGTCTCCTGGCTCATAATAGACCCCCCAATGTACCGTGAAACCCTAGTGGAAAGGCAGCATGGTGATTTAGTAATTTCCCTGGGTTCTTACAAAATGAGATTTGAGTACAGTATTTTGAAACAGCTCTAGTTTTCAAATCATATCTTTAGTATCTAGTAATTTAACACATTCATTATTAATTTGTAAAAAGTACTCTGTTAACATTTTAATTATGTAATTCGGTTTTTTTTAAGGGTGTTTGCATAAAATTTGATTTTGATATGTCTTAAACTAATTTCGGTCTAGTAAAATACTTTCCTCTTTTTTTAAAAAAAAATTGCTATTCATTAACTTTGCTTGTAAGGCTTTTTATGGCCAAGCACAGGGTTTTAAAGCCATACCACTAAAAGTACCCATGTGTGTTTTTTAACAATACATTTTCTTGTAGCTTAGCTTGGACTCATTTCCAAAATGATGCAATAGTATTTTTTACTGGTTTCCAAATTAGCAAAAACCAGAACTGGTGTGTTTTCGGTGGTGACCGAATGCATTAGATTCATTTTTGTGAAAGTGGATATGGTGGCCTGTCCAAGGACTGGATTGGGGACGAGCGGATGTTTGAGAAGCACCCCAAGGGTCTATAGATCCTGTCAGACTGGTGGCGACATCAGCATCGTTGTCAGAGCTGGGATGGCTGTCCTTGCTAGCGTCACAGTCACCTTCCTGTTATCTGTGATCAGTACCCCCCCCCCCCCCCCCCCCGGGGAGCCTGGCTGCCTGACCCAGTGGAAAAGAGGCTTTGGTTCTTCCTGCTCTGGCCTCCCAATTGTCATACTCCCAATATGGCACATTCATTTGACAGGATTGAACAGGCGTCTGTACATGAAGATCCACGTCAAGCTTTCAGTGCCTTCTACTGATGCCAGAGTACCTCCTCTGGTACTTGTTGGTGTTTCACTGATTGTGTTTACTTTTTGGAACTATGTCAGCCTAACCACAAATAAAAGATGTTTGCCTCGGTTACTCATTTCTCCAGTGTATCCATTAGTCCGACCTAAAGTGGGAGGGGTAAGGGGAGAAAGAATTAATGAAGCCCGGGGAAAAAGTTGGTGGCTCAGAAAACACAGTTCTCAGGGAGCAAAGTTAATAAAAAGCTGTCCTTGTAAGAGAAAGCCATCAGATATTGAAGATCTATTTATACAAAGTCTATGAAACCATTTTCTATCTTCTATAACAAATGGAGATGTTACTTGGGGACGGATTCCCATACAGTTCCTACCTTAAGAAACACATTTTGAATCTGAACTTCCCAGGACAGATACAGTCCTATTCACATCTCTTCTGCCTTTTTCATAGGAATTCACTTCCAGATAGTTCTTTTCATCCTAGGGATGCCAACATCAAGGGATAACTGGAATGCTATTTTTGCTATTAAGTCACTTCTGATAGAACTAAAGCAAGTTGTCTCTGTAGAATTTTTATATCTTACAGCTAAATCAGAAATTCAGGTGCAAACACACCCTTTATGGAATGGGAACACAGAACCATAGCACAAAGTGATAACATGCACAGGTATATACGTGTCAGTACTCTCTCAGTTTCCTGGTCACCGAATACCTTTAGTGTGTCCACATCCGTATCCACTAATTGTGTACTTTCCCTCAGAAATTGGTAATACAAGAACGCTAGAAGAATCTTGAGAATGTTTCTGTTGTCTTTCGTTCATCAGCTGTAATTTCTATGGACAAAAATGAATCGATTCATTCAGCAGCTGTTTATTAAACACCTACTACGTGCCAGATGTTCCAGGATGCCCCTTATCTGTCCTACTCATCACTCTGTCCCCGGGATCTTTGAATGCCTGGCACATTGTTTTATGTTCCCAAGCATTATATAAACTTGTCACCTGTAAAATGTGTCTTCCTCCTATCTGTGGAAAGTGAAGGCTCTGTATCTCATGCTGTCTCACAGCCCATGCTTTCCCCTAAAAGGCACTTTCCTAGTGGGAGTAGAGGTGGGTGCAAGGAGAATCAACCTAAAGCAGTAAACAAATGAAGAAACGAGATGATTTCTAATAATGACAAATGTTTAAAGGCACTAAGAACAGGATACCGTGATAGATCGAGGGGCTACTTTGGATGGGAGTGATCAGAGAGGGCCTGATGAGAAGGCGATGTTTGAGCAAAGATCCAAATGACTAGGAGAGGTCAGGAATGCAAGGGGTATTCATAGGGTATTCTAGGCAGAGGGAACAGAAAATGTGAAGGCTCTAAGGTGGGAGCAAGTTTGTCATGTCTAAAAAAAGAAAGCAAGCCTGCGTGACTGTCGCTTGGCTGTCATCATTGTTATTAGACATCCAGATGACGTCCGATAAATAGTTGACGTTAGTGAGTCTGGAACTCAACAGAGGAGTCAGGACTGGAGATTCCAGTGCTCATCAGCATGTGAAAAGTTTTGAAAGACACAAGACTACACAGAATCATCTAGGGAGAGAATGTAGGAAGAGAAGAGAGCACGGTCACCCTGAGCAGGACAGTCAATAAGGTGGGAGGGACGCCAATGACGTGTAATGGAGGCCAAGTAAAGAGCATTTCAAGAAGCAGGTGTCACATCCAAGAGGGCCATTAGGAGAGGATGGAGACGTCTTGTGGGATTCAACAGCATAGACGTGACCTTGATGAGACCACTCCCAGTGAATGCTGCAGCATGGGGGAAGATACAGAGATTGCAGAGAGCAATTGTGAACAATTTTTTTTTTTTTGGCCTACAGTTAATTCTTTTTATGAGTTAAAGACAAGGGGAAGTAGCTTAAGGTTGGGGGGACGTGGAGACTAGGGAGTTTGCATTTTAAGAGAAGAAGATTCCAGGGAATGTCCACGTGTGATGAGAACGGTCACATGGACAGTGAGATTAGTAAGATGACTGCATTGAAAGTTCTGGGGAAGCAGGATGGAATCCGGAGCTCCGTGGGAGGGTCTAATTTGACAGGAGGATCTGCTGTCACACGGGAGCGAAGGGTAGGCACAGGGAAAGAGTTTTTGATTTGCTGACATGAAAACGTGAGTGCTTGAATCTGACCACTTCCGTTCGGTGGGAGGCAGTAACCTGCTGAGAGTGTTTGACTTTTTGCATATGTTTGTTCTCTGGGAGAACGGTGGTGTGAACAACAGCAACCTGCCAACCACCTACGTAGAGCTTAGTCTGCTTGGCACTCTTCTAAGTGTTTCACACATCGACTTATTTCATCCTTACAACATCTCTTTGAAGTGAGTGCTGCTGTTTCCCCCAGCTTACACTTGGGGTAACCGAGGCACAGAGAGATTAAGTGACCCTCTCAAAGTCACACGGCTAGTAAGTGGCGCAGCTGGGCGTTGAGCCCAGACGTTTTGGTTCCAGAGCCTAGTCATTGAATACCTGAGCTCTTTCACCTCTACCAAGAAGAGCATGGAAGACCAGCACAGATAAAGATGACCAAGAACCCCAGAGTTAGTCATAAGTATCCCCTATACCAGAGAGATTAAAGGCAAATATGCTTATGCATCAGATAAATTATAGAAGCAATCTATGTTGGGAGGGTAAAAGATGAAGAAGCCGGCTACGTGAGAATGAATTTCAAGTTCTTGTACCAGCACTTTGGACAGCAATCCGTCTGGTAAGGGCGAGGTACTCGTGCACCATGACTCAGTTCTACTCTGAGGCATATACCCTAGTAAACCTCTTACACCCGTGTACCAAGAAGCATGTACAACAATGTTCATAGCAGCACACACAGTTCAGGAGAGCCTGGAGCTGGAGGCAGTCTACATACCTGTCGCTTAAAGAATTAACAAGTGCTAGTATATCTTTATAATGTCACATTATGCAGCAGTCAGTATGAATGGACTACAGCTGCACGAAGCATCTTGATGTTAAGCAAATAGAAAAAGTCACAGAACAAAACTTATAGGAGGATTGTCTTTGTACAACTTAAAACCATGCAAAATAAAAAGCAAACACAGAGCTACACCCACATCTCAAAAAATAAAGAAGAAGAGAATGACCGACACTGAATTCAACAGAGTAACTACCTCCGCGGGAAAGTAAGGGGGTGATGCTCTCAGATGCACGGGGGACTCAAAGGTAATGTCAATTTCTGTTTCCTAAACTGGTTGGTGGGTACGTGGGTGTTTCTTTCATAAGCAGTCTTTATGCCTGATACATCATAATAAAATACATCTATTATAAATACTCCCCATCTGACATTTCATTTTGATGTAATTAATGCTAAACTTAATTTAAAAAACCCCAAAACGTCTTGTTGAGCACCCAATGTGTATTACTTTCCTATGGCTGCTGCAACAATTTATCACAAACGGGGTGCCTTAACAAAACTGTATTACCCTGCCTGTGGAATCTGGGGAGTCCAGCAGCCTTCTTTCATTGTGTCCTGCTTCTGCCCCTTGGGGTCAAACAGGCATCATTTCTGCTTGTGTAATCTAAAAATTCTGAGTCTCCGCTGTATATCAAGGGGACTCATGCCGTTGCACAAGATGCTCCTCCATAGATCCTTCCTGATGATCTCATCTCTACCCCTGGTTTCTGCTCCAGGGTTGAGGGGATCCACGAATCATACACTTGATTTCTTCAAGGGACCCTTTGTGCGAGAGAATACTCTGACCTTTCCATCCTTCCATGGCACTAGCCAAAGACTATTCTGGCCACACCCTTGGTTTTCTCTTCATGGCTTTCTTTCCTCAGCGTCAATCTCCTAATTTGGGCATCCTTTACAGTTTGGATTGGATAAAAATCTCCCAAACGCATCAAGCCCAGTTTTGGTTTTGCTTAGCAGTTTTCCTCTCAATTTCTCTTTCCTCTCAAATGTTATTACAAGTTACAAGAAGAAACCAGGTTGCATATTCAATACTTTGCTTGGAAATTTCAGCCCAATATCCAAGTTCATTGCTTACTAAGTTCTGCTTTCCATGTCACTAAACTACAGGACGTAATTCAGCCAGACTTTCTGCCATTACAGATCAAGGATCTTCTTTCCTTCCGTTTCCAAAAACATTTTCTTCATTTCCTTCGGAGTCCTCACCAGCGGGGCCTTTAAAGCTCAAGTTTCTGCCAACATTATGTTTACAGTAACGTATGTATTCTCTAACATGACATAGTCTTTCTCTCCCACGCTCCTTACTGTCTCCTGAGTCCTCACCAGCAGCACCTTTAACATCCGTTTCTACCAACAGACTGTTTTAAGATAATGTGAGCTTTTTCTATCTTGCGTGTCAGAATTCTTCCAGCTTCTATCCATTACCCCGTCCAAAGCCACTTCCACATTTTTGGCTATGTATTCCAGCAGCATCTCACTTCCCAGGACCAAAATGTGTACTTGTGGTTGCTGTAATAAATGACCACAAACTCGGTGGCATGAAACAACTGAAATTTATACACTTAGGGTCCTGGAGGCCAGAAAGCTGAACTCAATATCGTTGGGTGAAAATCAAGGTGCTGGCAGGACAATGCTTCCTCCAGAGGGGAGCAATCCATTTTTTGCCTCTTCCAGCTTTGTATTCCTTGGTTTGTGACCACACCACTCCAATTTCTGCCTCTTTGGTCACACTGACTTCTCTTCTGCCTGTAGGTCAAATATCCATGTCTCTGCCTCCCTCTCATAAGGGTACATGTGATTGCATCGAGAGCCCACCTACATAATTCAAGATAATCTCCCCATGATTTGTCACATCTGCAAAATCCCATTCTTGCCATATCTGGTAACATTCACAGGTTCCAGGAATTAGGACATGGATATCTTTTGGAAGGAGAGCATCATTCAGGCTACTGCAGGGTGCTACCAGTCACCGATACGCGATCTTCAGACATGAGCAAGCAAGTGGGGGAATTGGGGGAGTCTAAGGATGAGATGTCCACTCATTCATTCATTCATTCTCTCATTACTCCTTTGAAAAATATTTTGAGCAACTATATTGTGCCAGCCATTGTTGCTAGATGCCAGAAGGCACTGGGCTCTCGATGGTGCCACTTAG